TTGCCACAGAGCAGATATTTAGTGACCAGCAGTTATCGTGCTGCTTAGGGAAGGTTTAATAACTTCTAACAACTTCCATCAGACAGCAGTGCTCCTTGCAACCAAACGGCAGCACTGGAAGAAGCGGGTTGGTAGAGTGTGTGGCACCAGGCAGAGTGCGGGAGAGATTCCTAGCATCCCTCTCTTCCTTCTCTGCTCCCTGTGCTTACAGGGATCTCTTCAATGCTGCTTTTGTGTCCTGCTGGTCTGAACTGAATGAAGACCAACAAGACGAGCTCATCAGGAGCATTGAGTTGGCCCTCACCTCTCAAGACATCGCTGAAGTCACGCAAACCCTCTTGAACCTGGCTGAGTTCATGGAACACAGTGACAAGGTGAGAGACTTTCCCCCACTGTCCCAGTGGCCCGTGATAGGAATCCAGCCAGCAGGAGAAGCTGCTTGCACATAGCCCACTCCTATGTGCGCCCCCATCTACTACCTTTTTTTCTACGCTTTCCTCTAGGGCCCCCTGCCACTGAGAGATGACAATGGCATTGTGCTATTGGGGGAGAGAGCTGCCAAGTGCCGAGCGTATGCAAAAGCACTACACTACAAAGAACTGGAGTTCCAGAAAGGGGCCACACCTGCCATACTCGAGTCCCTCATCAGGTAGGCCCTGAATGCCCGTCCCACTGCCTTTCCTTCTCCTCTGGAGCCGGTTGTAGAATTCAGCTGCGTGAAATGTGTCATCAGGTGTGGCTGGCACATGTAAGTGCGTGGTTACAGATGGCTGTCAGCAGTCAAGCCTGTTGTCACACCTGTCAACCCTTACCACCTACACTCCATTGCTTTCCAACCTGCGCTTTCTTATCCTAGTGCAATCCACAAGACCCTCGGAAAGACAGAAATGCCCAGCAGGATCAGGGCGCCCAGAGGCAGGGTCAGGGTTTAGAGACGATGCCTTTTAGTGCCCACTCTTCCTCCTTTGGCGTTCTGTGAATGTGAAGAGTGAAATCTGAGATTCAGTGATCTTTCCCGATTCGGTTTTGTTCTCTCCTCTCCTAGGATGGTTTGGAGCCTTCTGGGTATGGAAAAGGGGGTTGTTTAATAAATTTTGTGCTGTTAGAAATTACAGGCAGCCAGAAACATTAGCCTCAGCTCCTAGAGGACTGCTCACTTCCCCCAATGATTTTAGAAATGTTAACTCCGGAATCTGCCATCTCCATGGAGATGCTAACATGGTTCATCGTTTAACTGCAGACAAGATAGCTCAGGACAAATTCACAGCTAACAAGCTCCTGGGTAGGCCAACAGACCCTTCGAGCAGAGTGGTTCAGCAGCTACGCTCTGTATACACTCTGCCTTTAGCAGGTGACAAAAGGCGTGGCCCAAAACGTGGGAGTGGAATCCTATTTCTGCCATATCCACTGACACAGAGAATGTCAGTTTCTGAAGTACCTGTGGGGACAGCTACAAATGTCCCGTCCCATGAGGACTGCTTCAGCACAGGACACAAAACGACCTGCATTTCTCCCTCCTACGTCTCACTTGTACAGCCTCCTGTGCTAACCTACAGAAACAGGGTAACTAACTGGGCATGTTAACTTTAACTTCAGGCAGCTGGTTTAACCCATTGTGTCCTTGCTGACTTTTCTGAGACCTATTTGAAATGCCTAATCCCACTGTTGGCTTTTCCTCATATTTGAGACAATCATAGAAACATTGAAGTTAATGCAATTTTTAGCAGAAAGGTATGATATGGCTAGAAAGGTACAATGTAACTGAAAATGATCATAATTCCCTGCAAACAGATTGGGTTTGACACGTTTTGTTTTGTTTAGTTTATTGTAAATTCAGACTTAAGGGAAAGCGTGCACTCTAAACTACTCAGGCTGCTCAGCTGACTGAGCGTGGGTGGCCTCTGGAGCCTCCCCAGTTCCTTCCTGTGCAGCCTCTTCCATCTGCAGCTTTCTCTTCAGATGAAAACCTCTTCCCTAAGCACCACTGTGCTGACTGTGGTGCCCACTTTACTGGGGAAAGTTGTTTGATTGCTTCTGGGGGTGTTGCATCTGTTTGTTTATTTGGTTTACAGAGTGAACTTAGAATCCCCCTGCCTCAGAAAGTTTTATGAACATCCTTAGGCAAAGCTGCTATTGGGAAGCTGCCCCACAGTACCCCCCCTCCCAGAGTTGTAGGAGAGACACCTAATGACTCCTCCTGGGGTCCTGGCACTTTGAGTTGCATGCCCCCTTTGTGGGTCTCAAGTCACTGACTGAATTAAGTGGCTACTACGTTCCTGCTCCTGTCCCCCAGGCAAACTATAGGTGTCTTATCTGTTTTGACAGTTAACACCCCTCCCTCCACACAGTGGTTGATTTTTTTTTTTTTAACCTATTCATATTCCACTTACCGATTTATCTATTCTCAGGGCCTATGGTAATACATACACTTAACATTAACAAGCTATTTCTTATTTTTTGTTTTTGTTTTTAAAAAACCAATTTCCTTTTGAGCTAGATGTGGTGCACACCTGTAATCCCAGCACTCTCGAGGTAGATTGGGAGGGTTTTCTACTCTGGTTCTGTCTGTCTGTCTGTCTCCTACTTGTTGGTTTTCTTATCTGTCTATTTCCAGGACAAGTTAAATCCCACATGTAATCTCCAAGCTGGGTCAGCACTAAGACAATGTAAACTGTTGGAAGCTCGAATAGATGAGAAAGTATAATCACTTCTCAGGGGAACAGTGGATTAGAAGGAATTGAATTTTAGGAAGCACATAATAGCTGTGGGGATTTTGTTGGTTATCCAGTGCATGGGGGCAGCGGTCTGTTGGCCTGTCTTTTGTTCTGGTCGGTTGAGACGGGATCTCACTGCATAGCCTTGGCAGTCCTGGAACGCTGTGTAGACCAGACTGGCCCCTGCAGAGATCCACCGGCCTCTGCCTCCCAAGTGCTGGGATCAAAGGTGTGCTCCAGCACCCAGCAGCCTTTTTTCTCTGCTCAGTAGAGAATCTCATCAAAGCTGTGTGCTCTCTGTCCCGTGTATCGTCTCCTTTTTAAGTATTTCTGGTTGAGGCATCTGCACAGTTAAAAACAAGTACTGGTGGTCACTGGGTGCATCTGCTTGTAGTGCTGGTGTGTACACGCCCTTTACAGCACTGTGCCGTTTAGCTCCTGTTCCCATTTCTCAAGGGGCCTGCCAGACGGATACGTCCTTTGTTTCCTGCAGCAGCACCCAGCTCTGCTTCTGGTTCTTGGTCAGAGGCTGTGGGGTAACCATCCGTAGTGTCCGTCTGTCACTATCCTTGGTATCTCTCTGTCAGCCAGTACCAAAGTTCATGCTCATAAATGTGGGAGCTAGGCGTGCCCTGCCCATCCTTAACTCTCCTCCTTCCCCTCTATGAGAAGTTTCTCTAGGGAGTGTGGAGACCCATGGGATTTCTTTGGGGGTTGTATTAAATAAAGGGAGAGCCATCAGCTTTTCTGTGTGGGCGCCTTGCTCTGCACACTCCTGTGAGGCCTGTCCTCACCATCCTCCAAACCACTGGTGCTAGGCATCTCATTCTCCTACCTGCCTGAGGAAGTTTCTGTTTGAATAGCTCTCCCCTGGGAACCCGTTTTATGCAGCCTCTCTTCTCACTCTATTTCTTTGAAAGATTCCCAAGGTTCTTGTTCATGAGGGCAGGTAGATTCCCAGGCACCAGAGAACTGTGGGTACAGTAGAAGTTACTAAGTGAGAGACATGGCTTGTCTTGTGCTAACTTCCTCCAGAGGACAGTTCTTATGGTGAGCCTGAGTTGGTATGGGTTTGCTCTGCTTCTGCTCTCCAGTGACTCAGGCCCTTCCCCTTGCCCCCTGTGCTTACCCCCTGCCTCTCCACCCTTTCCCCCTGCCCTCCCACTGCCCTTTTTCTTTCCTGGCTTCCTGCTCCTTTGGTTTCCTTGACTATGGAACCGACTCAAGAGTCAGTGTTCACTCTGACTTTTTAACCTGAAGTTTTTACCTCGCTCTCAGTGATAACAATAAGAATTTAAAAGAAAATACTCAAATTTTGATAGTATTTATTGTAAAAGAAAAAGATGCTTTGAATGTTTAAGACAGAGAGCACAATCTTTTATTTTTACAAAGCAAGATGCTTCTTACATACAGCATAAGTTTTTAACCACAGCGCCATCTGCCTTCATTTTCCAGACATTCTTCTTCTAGACAGTATTTTTAAAGGGGATCTCTTTGAGTCCATTTCTTACAGAATGAGTGAAAATGGCTATGTCTGTCGACTGTGAACGTTTTAAGGCAGTACTGTGATCACCCAGAGGCGCTGTTCACCTCCCACTGACCTTTGCTCCTGCGGCAGATCCCGCAGCATACCTGGCCAAGGCCTGACTCTGGAGACTCCTGGAAGCAAGTCTACCTGGGCAGCTAGTTGTTAGCGCAGACCTTTAATCCCAGCACTTGGGAAGCAGATACAGGTAGATCTCTGTGAGTTCAAGGCCCACCACTATATAATGAGTTCAGGACAGTCAGAGCTATGTTCGAGAGACCCTGTCTCAAGAAGAGAAACAAAGGCCTATAGACACAAGGAAATGTCCTGGGATTTAAGAAGAGGAGGCCTCCATCTGCTCTCATTTCCCAAGGCTGCTGCTTCTGACAATCACAACAGTTCTTTTTAATTGCTCTCCCCCTCGGGTCGTCTAAGCCTCAGTTAGAGAAAATGGGTAAAGTACCTCAGGTTACTGTTTCCCATGGGTAAGTCATGTGGGTGATGGGCTGCTGCTCTCTGGGCCCACACACTCCTCACCCTTGGCACCAGTGGCAGGCCCCCCGAGGCTGCTAACTGTTGCCATTTGCTAGTGCGTACTGTTTGTTGGTACCTGTGGTTCTACTGGGTGTGCACATGCTCACATGGGCGGCACGGAGAAAGTTCTATGGTGCTCCTCAGAGAGTGGCTTTTCATTGAAGATGATAGGCCATTCCCTCCCACCCTCTAGGACTTCTCTGTGTCTACTTAGGACTTCTCTGTGTCTACTTTCTCCGCCTCCTCCCTTCCTGCCCTGCCCCCCTCAGCCTTCCACATCTCCCTTCAATGGCTCCCAGCCTTCTTAGGGCTGGAAGGCTTCCGGACGGATCTTCATCTCCACTCGTTTGAGAGAGTAGTTGGCTCCATGCCAGCCGTACCAGCTGATGCCATCCATGTGCTTCCTGTGCTCCCCCTGGCGGTAGTACACCCCATTGAGGTTGGAGTCTGTACAGCAGTTGTACCAGTAGCCACCTGGTAGGAGAAATAGAGGAGGCTAATGGGCTAGACTGTGGCTGACTGATAGTGTTAATTAAAACTGGCAGCAAAGAGCACACCACAGCCAGAGCCCAGCAAAGGGAGCACCACAGCCAGAGCCCAGCAAAGGGAGCACCACAGCTAGAGCACTGCTTGTTCTCAGTGGGACTTTATTTACCCTCCTGCCTCCCAGATCTCACCTTTGCGGAGTTGCGCACACTTGTCTAAGCAGTTGTCATTGTCCTTGTCCTTGGTGCTGAAGACCGTGTTGTTATGATAGAGGAGGGCATCCTTGCCCACATTGCCACTGTAGTTCCCCAGGAAGAGGCGGTAGCTGTTCAGTTCGTTGGCCAGTGCAAAGTGGCTGTACTCTGCATAGCGTGCGTTGCCCTCCCAGTCCTGGCAAGGAGGAGCAGAGCCTTAGGGGATCTGTGAAGGACTTCATTGCTACAGACCCTGAACCCTTCTCTCTCACTAGCCCCACAGCCCCAAACATCTCTTCAATGGCAGGACTCTGATAAGACTGTTCTAGTTCACCATGTTAGCTGGAAGCTAGTGAACAAACAAAGGTCTCAGACCAAACTTGAATCTGGACTTGCCATATAACCTGGATTGTTCTTTCTGTAGCCCTTCAAGCCTCTGTCTGATTTTCGTTAAATCTCACTCTGAGATGCTGTAGAAGCAGGTGGGGGTGTTGGATTGAAGCCTTCTAGAGGGCCAGCATCCCCAGCATCACTGAGATTTGCACTCAGAAAGATCCCAGAGCAGAGGGTATGGTATTTCTGTCCCTCTTACTCTGGGTTTACTCTGTTCTGGCTTGGTTCTTCCCGGGTCTTAGTCAGCTATAGTTTAACTTTTCTGAGACATAGAAAGAAAGAAAATAATCTTTGTCAGCAGTTCTGAACCTTCAGGGAAACTGCCACAGTGACTGGACAAGCCTAATGTGACTCGACTATGGTGAGGCTTCCAAACCATGCATAGCCATGTGCCGTGGAGCCGGGCCAGTCAGGGCCTCCCAGCTGGAGCTTACCTCCAGCTCTACACGGAGCCGTGTTGGCTGTCTGGTAAGCCGGTGGATGTGCTCATTCCCTAGCCAGAAGTCCCCTCGGATGCTGCCAAAGCCATGCTTATACTGTCTCCAGTCTTGGTAGAAGGAGACAAGGCCACTCTTGCGCCTCTGGATGATGGTCCAGCCTCCTCCTGAAGTTTCCATGTCACAGAATACCTGAAGCAGAGAGAGCCTTCTGGTCAGGGGCAGGAGCTCGAGGACAGACTCCCCAGCCTGTGTGCTGTGCCGACAGGGTCAGCAGCCCATGTAATCTCTGCCCACTACAGCAGAAATACTGCT